GGGGGGTATAAGGTTATTGCCTATAAAATGGCAGTTTAATGGGTGTCCACTCTCACCCACCGCTTCCTTGACTGGTGGAGGGTCGTTAGCCGAACGGGTAGGATAAGGACTATAATTCTCCCTTCGTTAAATGTATAATGATAAATACTAAGTAACTAAACACTTATAAATTCCCAATCTTAGTTACTTAGGAAAATGTGAAAAGCTGGTAACCCATGAAATTGCACTTTGCACCTTTGTTAAGTCGTTAGTGGAGCGTGTGTGGTTAACCGGCACACTAACATGGGACTGACAATGTGTGGCAAAGGGTAACTTAATGTTTATCATAGATTGGTGGAGCGCGTGTGGTTAACCGGCACATCAATTAGGTGATAAAGTTAAGGGTACCAAGTAAATTTGCATGGTTATTCACACCTTGTTTGTGATCCTCGGCATCCCAGTCACAAACTTGAGAGGGCACAATCGAGATTTAAACATGCCATTGAAAGTTCAATGAATCTCAAAAGATCTAGGAGTTTCAATCCAATTAAAACTTAATAATTTATTTTGTTTTTTATGGTGGAAATTGGTAAATCGTCATTTACCTACCTTCAAATATTTTATAACTTGGATTACGGCATCCCTCTTCCAGTTATAAATAGTTTGTTGGGTCCTAGCCTTAATATTTCATATTGGGTGTTATATTAAGGAATTAAATCAACTAAACTTGAATTTCTCCCTCATAAATGTCTATTTCAGACAACTATGGTCTTCCCAAATCTTTAGGAACAAGCATTCCTAATGAAGATGATATCCCACATGGCAATCAAGGTGAAAGATTAATCCCTTTGTTGTGTATTAATGGGACTGAAAATCATGCTTCACCTCCTCCACCTCCTCCAATAATTCTCCCTATACCACAAGTTTCAAGACTTGAAAAGTTCTAAGTCACTCAATCCCCATTGGTAAGCAAAGACTATATGTGCTTACATCTTTGAGGTTAAGTCACATATTGGCAAGCCTGGAGAGTCGGGTGTCGAAGTCTCGAGGTAGCTGGCTGTTGACTTGGTTCTTCAGTCACTCCCTGATGACAGATCACGACATGACCCTTAGTGATCTTACATATTTGCTTGATGTTGCTAAATCAGCAATGATTTGGAGCATTGGTAAAGCAAATTAGATTGGAAGATCTACTTCCCAAACCTATTTGGACATTGACAATGGTGACATTGGAAGTCCAGAAAAGCTTTCTCTTCCCAATAGAAAGGGATTGGCCATGGTCAAGTCATTTGACCAATGGTAAAGAGAAAGGCTAAGTCTAAGACAATAAAGTGTACCATTTCCAAAAGGTCCATATGTTTCTTTTGCCAAAGGAAGGGACATTGGTTGCGAAGCTGCCGAATTTACCTGAAAAAGTTTATAAGGATGGTAAAAGTCAAAAAGTTTGACTTTGCTTCAGGTAAAGTCCATTATCTAACTCTATGAAGTATCCTTTGGAGATTCTTAATACATGATGTAATGTAAATTATATTTTGATGTTTTGGAAGAACCAAAGGAAACCTAAAGAAAGAGTATGCTGATCTGATCGCGGAGATGGATCTCGATCGCATGGTTCGATGATCAGAATTTTGAGTTGTTTCTTAAGAGTTATGATATATTGCTTAGGAATAGATAACAACATGTTTTCATATGTATTTGCATTGTAAGGATAAGATTTTTCCGCAAGCTTTAAAATAAAAGAAAAGGTTTTGATTTATTTTAAGTATCCTTACAATGAGATTTGTGAAAAATTGTTGTTTATATGTTTCCATTGATAAGCAATATTGGAAAATGGATTTGAGTCTTTCATTTGTGGTAGTGTCATAATTTACCAAATAAGGAAAGATTCTCATCACCCAAGTTTCAGTTGGATAGAAACTTGGAATCATGCAAGTTGTATTGTGTGATGAATGAGAATTTTAATCTTTGGGAAATAAAGACTAAGTCCTTGCTCACATGTATATGTGAGTAAAGTGAAGGACTAAAGGATTGGGTACAGTTGGTTGTGCGCTGGGCAAGTCGACCACAAGGAATGATAAGATTATTCGTCACGATTTACTAAAGTTTAGTAAATATGGTTATACTTACAAGTTTAAGTGTAATTTTGAAACATTGGAAAAGTTTCAATGTATGGCAGGACGAATGAGAAGAATCAAATTAGGCAGAAAGATAAAAGTTTCTCCAATCTGAAAAGGTGGGAGAGTGCTTAAGTATCTTGGTTTATGGTTATCTTGGTGATTGTGAAACCATATCATAATTGATCCTCTAAGGACACCTTAGTGCATTTGTTTGGCTAAGGAGAGGAATCGTAAATTATTGAAATGGTTAAATCAAACGATAAATCATACTTCGTTCCAAAATCAAATCTTAGAGTCATACTCCAAGATTGAGCCTTGAGTGACATAATCTTAAAAAGGTGTAAAACACTTGTCAAATGTAGAGTAAAATATTTTCTACTCTTGTACATTTGAGATTGGTAAGTTGTGATGTTTTGGATAAGACAAAGACCAACTAAGACCAATTGTCAGAAGTGTTTAACTTGATAAGAATCCGCACTAACTCTTGAATATTTGTTTTGTCAAGGAATGATTCTTGACAAAAGAGAATCTTATATGTCATGAGGTCAGTGGGAGTCTTTAAAAATCTTGAGATGGTTTCAAGAACTAATCAAGAGTATTGTTAATCACTAGCCCACGACTTGAGGTTTGTAACCTATCGTGTTGACATAGTATTATTTATGTGCCTATTCTAGTTAAAGTTGACTATGCTTGTGAGTTCTATGAGTTTTTAATTGTTTGCATAACAATGTGGACGCAATGGTAGGCCCTTGAGCTGCCAAGTGGCAAGAAATTAAGATTGAACAAGTTCAATCCATATGAGTTTGGGTTTGTCACTAACCCTGTCTTGTGATTATGTTTTTGCCAAATTCACATGGATAGGAATACATACACCATAAAAATCTAAGTGTCATAAGGTTTCTATCCGATTCATGAAAATGATGGTGAGAAAACGCTTTCACTAAGTAGATTTTAAGTAGATAGCAATTGTGATATTTGCATTCTCATGTCGTTAGTGGAGCGTGTGTGGTTAACCGGCACACTAACTAGTGAGAATGGCAAAAGGTCTACACAAACATGTGAGCTATCTAAGGAAAGGTGTATGATTTTGTTTAAGTCTTATCAAAGCAATCTTGTATCAGAAATCTGAACTTTGGCAAGAAAGTCAATAAAGTATTGATTTCTAGAAGTCCAGTTGATTTCTGAGTACATGTCAAAGCTAGTGGGAGCATAAGTGTTGTGCTAGTAAGATAATAATCATTGTGCTAGTGGGAGCATGATTATTATGGTTAGTGTTTCAAGTTAGCAATGTTAATTAGAGAAAACAAAAGGTTCAATTCGCTTTGAAAAGTTGTTTTGCTATAATTAAAGGAGAGGATTTATACTTCATTCCAATTCTAAAAGCTTAGATTAAGATTTTAATCAACTTTAGTCAAGGATATATATGAATGTTATGTTGGAATGGTTCAACATAAGGAAATTCTATATATGTTGCATTCTCAAAATTCGATTATGATTACGACATCCCTCTTCATAGTTCAAATTTTGAGAACATGGCAAATAAAAATTTTTATAGCATGAATCGGGTCCCATATGCTTCGGGTATAGGATCAATTACATGTGCTATAATATTTATACATTCTAAATTTTCCAAATGCCTAGGGCGTTAAGAGGGAAAAAGGAATAGAACTGGATTTGACTAAAATGATTAAGCAATTGTCGAGGACAATCTGAGGTTTGCCAAAGATTGGTTGCTCATGGACAATTGGAAGTATAGAGATAGGACCATATTGAGATATTCTGAAAAGAGGCAACTCTTGTTCAGAAGTGATAGTCAAAATGGGAATATGGAATTGTCTCCATAGGTGGAAGTTATTCTTTGAATTTGTGTAAGATTAGAGAACTTAATGCAAGAAGGGTGTTCAAAGGAATGTACTTTGAATGTGAGACTTCGTTTCCATGGAACTGCTCTCCATTGGAATACTTTGTAATGTCTGTTGCCAAGTCTTTGTGACTTGTGTGCATATTAATTGCAAGGGGATCATTGCATATAAGTTTAGAATCTAATAGATTATAGTAAATGACAAGAGTTTGGTATTCTTACCTTTACAATAAGGATTGGGATTGTGAAATGAGCATCATTGAAATTTTGTCAATTGATCTGTTTCACAAAGTAAGGATCATAAGACAAACATAGTGTGCATACTTGGAGTATGGCATAGCTATTGTTTAGACAAACATAGTGCGCATGCTTGGAGCATGGCATGACTATTGTTTTTATTCAAGTATTAAGTTGATAAATCGAAACATTATACAATGAATAATGAGTAATCAATATGGTGCTTAGATAAAAGGTGTTTTATTTACACTCAAAGTGTCGGCGCCATATAGGATTACTATTATTCTTGTGTTTCACTTTGCATGTTTTGACTTCCCGAATAACTAAGTTATTCAAACCATCCACAGTCGATAATACATTAGAAGTAGGTATTAAGGCAAGACTGTCATGAAGTTGGTTTGTAGATGTCTAAGGTGTTGGACATAGCATAAGTTGCTACAACATTCATGAGTGCTCATAAGTTCTGAGTATTGGATTAAACCCACGCTCATTTGAATCACTTCATGGATTTTATCACGAGTGAATCATGAGACGATAATATCTTATATTCTTCAAACCTAGAGATATGAGTTGTTGACTATGAGTTGGTTATACATTGATTGCACGAAAACGCATTGGTAACTCGATGTTATAAAACGTGTCTTTGTGTATGATTCAACAAGTAGTTAGTACAAGCATATGAGTCAAAGTTTATCCATTCCTTTTACCCTTAAAGGGATAAAAGCGATATCTGTGGGCCCCCACTACTAGAAAAACAGCCTTTTACGACGCGCGAACCATGACACGCAGTGATTTATGATACGCAAATGGGTGTGTCCAAAAAATAATGTCATCTCTTCCAAAATTTAAATAATTTAGGACGCGCATTTTTACGTGCCCTAAAATTAGTGTCTAAAAAAACACGGAGGGCACCTATAATAAAATGCGTGTCGTCTAAGAATGTCGCTTTATAAATTTTAATAGAACGCGCGCGTTCCATCCGGGGAAAATGAACTTAGGTTGCGTTTAGTTACGGAAAAACAGTTTTCATTTTCTGTTTTTCGTTTTCCCTTTTCAGTTTTCGTTTTCCGTTTTCGATTTTCATTGGAAAATTTAGAAAACGCGTTTAGTTAAAACTTATTCATTTTTCATTTTCAGTTTTAGAAAATTAGAAAACGTGTTTAGATGTGTATTTTTCTATCGGTTTTCATTTTTAGAAAGCGGTAGCGGTGGTAGGGTGGGTGTGGGGACGGTGGCGGTGGTGTGTGTGTGTTTGTGGGTGTGTGTGTTTGTGGGTGTGGGTGTGGGTGTGTTTGTGGGGGTTGGTGTGTGTGTGTGTGTGTTTGTGGGGGTGTGTGTGTTTGTGGGGGTTGGAGTGTGTGTGTGTGCGTGTTTGTGAGGGTGGGCTTGGGAGTGAGTGTAGGTATGTAGGGGTGTGGTGGGTTGGGGGTGTTAAGGTGAAGGTAGGTAGAAGTGGATGGGGATGGGAGTGGGTGTTTATATTTTAGAAAAAATTTGGAATTAGAAAAATATGGAAAACAATGATTATCGGTTTTCCAAAATTTTCCAACTTCTTTGTAATTTTAGAAAAACGAAAAATTTTCATTTTCTGTGAAAAATTTAGAAAAATAAACGAACTAAACGCGTTTTCAAAATTCTCATTTTTCGTGGAATATTTTTCCGGAAAACAACCCATTTTTCCGCAACTAAACACACCCTTAAAATCCCGCCTTCCTTTTTTTTCTCCTCCACTTTAGTTTCCCTAGTAGCTAGGCTTTTTGTCAAGAACTTGCCCCGACCGCCCTCCTCTACTGCTCGTTCTCTCTTCAACTTCCCTTTCTCTCCTTCTCACTTCGACAAACCCTTTCTCTTCTTCTCAGTTCTCGACGTCGACAGCCTCTCCCACCTCCGACGTTTCTCTTGGTGTTGGCGCCTCCCACCCTTGACCTCCGTCCAGCCTCGCCCCACCGTCCAACGCTTTCCAGCGACACCCAGCCGGTGGAACCCCTCCTCTCCGGCAATCACACCTCGCTTGCCCTTGCAACCAACATTAGGTCCGGTGACCTTAGGCTCACTGCTTCTATTGCTCAAATTTACAAGCCCTATGTCTTATTAAGGTATGTTTTTCTTGATTCTAACTTCCCAATGTTTTCGTTCTTCTATAAGAACCCTAGCTTGCTAAATCTCTTTTTCTTTCCGGCTTAATTTCTCTCTATTTCATTTACGATCGAAGGAACAAACTTCCGATTTTTGGTGAAACTAACAATCGATGATGTGTGATTAGGTGAAATAATCGACTAGGGTTAATTAGGAACAAAGACACATGGAAACGGGAAAGGGGATGAACAAGAAACACACAATATGTTTGATTAGGTGAAATCATCGGTTTTGGCAATTTTCTTGCCATCATTGGTACTACCGGAAAGCTTAGTTGGCAGGAGGAGCCGCTTCACTTTGGCGGTCAAGAATAAAGATCATAACCTGTTATTTGTTTGTAACAGCGTGTTCGCTTATATGATGCAAGTGCCAATGTGTTAAGAGGAGAGTTCCTTCATGGAGGTGCAGTTCTTGATTGCTGCTTTCATGATGATACCTCTGGTTTTAGTGCTAGTGCAGATAACACTGTCACAAGGTATGACTAAATGATGCATATACTTTCTTGGATTATTGACTTATCTTTTTCTTGACTAAGTTTCAAGCTACATTCCTTTTACATCTCTCAGGCTTGTTTTTGACCACGAAAGGGAGGATCTTTTGGGACGCCATGATGCCCCTGTTCGTTGTATCGAGTACTCTTATGCAACAGGTTAGTGTCATTCATTTCATCATTTGTTTTCATTTTGTTAATATCATCATAGATTCATACTTTCATTTCCTTCTATTACATCATTGTGTTTCAATTCTTTTTCTTGTTGGTGGTTTTTAGGGCAAGTGATTACAGGTAGTTGGGACAAAACTTTGAAGTGTTGGGACCCACGTGGTGGAGGTGCACAGGAGCGTCCAATGGAGTTTTTTTATGCAATGGCACCAATTATTTTCTGTTTGCAGTATTTCTCATAGCTTTTAGTATAATTTATCACATTCAAAATAAATATCTTCGATCACAAAAACCAAACTGTGTTCCAAAATCTCTCTTTTCTCTTTTCTTCAAAATTTGGGAGTGCTTGATGAGGAATAATTTTGAATTTTCAATGATCATATGTTGTGTGTAGTTAGTACTATTTCATCTTCAATTCTAAAATAATAAACAATATGAACATTTAGAATGTGATGTATCATGTAGGTGATTAGTTTAGTGTAGGATCTTCTTTATGGAGATGTAGAACATTACTATGTGGGCTTCCATTTGGGCATTTTATGTCCTAATCCAATGTGGCATTTCTCTAAAAGATTACAGTAGTCTTGGGGAGATGTTCAAAAGGATTGTTAAGATGATGTTTTGTAGGTTATGCACTTAGCTCTGTAGAAGGTCGTGTTGCAATGGAGTTTTTTGATGCCATTAACAGCACTTTGCAATTCAAGGTAACTTCACCAGAGGCAGCTCTGGTTTTTCTTCAAGCATGGAAGTAAGTTCAGAAATTACCCATCTATAATTTCAAGTTGCAATGGCTCCATGCCATCTTTTTATTTATTTCTTTATTTTTAGTCGATTGACCAGTTACTCTCATGTCATCTACAATCATAGAGCTGCTGGGACCCCAAATGTGAAGGTAGCTGCAGTTGTAACTGGTACATCAACCATATTTCATGAAGCTACACCTTCATCTGAGCAGTTTATTGAAGTTGCCTTTACTCCATCAAAAGGTACTATCTGTAAATAAATGTCTTCCTTCTAAATTCCATACTATCACTCCAAACATCTGTAGAAAATAATATTTAGTTTTATGATCTTCTTTCATAGCAACTGGAAAGGTTCTTGCTTCAGAGCCTCCAAAGCAAGGGAATGAAAGATGCACTGTGTTGTACCCTGCCTCTGCAAAAGTTGGTCATGATATAGGTACACCCTTTAACTCCTTAGTTTATTTCTCTTCCATAACATTTCATCTTCATAATTATATATGTTTATACATGTGACATTTTCACTATCTCATGAGGTCATATATGTACTAAAATCAAACAGAGGAAGGTCTTTCTAAGCGTGGATTCCACATCACAAGATTGAATAGTTACACAAATTTTTAGTTCTGACAAATTTTTGATGTGGCATTTCACATTCTTATTAATATCAAGGGAATGTCTGTTACATTATTTTTGGTTTGTTGTACTTTAGGAACCTGTACAACATGTGGATCAAACCATTCTACAACAAGCACTCTCTGCTTCTGTAGTTGCAGTTGCATCACCTTCTACAGTTGGGTAATTAATATTCTGATGCTAAATTCTCTTACTATTTTCTTTGTATTTCAGCTTATATTTTCTCTTATTCTACAACAATGCTTGGGTGGATCTTCTACCTGAACCACAGACATGGGAGGGTTCTGTTGCATGCATTGGTGAAACCACTGCTTCAGCTGCTAGAAAATTAGGCTTAACAAATGTATACCACCCATCTACCCCTGGTCTTCACGGGTAATATATAATTATATATAATATTATAATTCCTCTCATACTATTTATTATATTCTTATTATTATTATTATTATTATTATTATTATTATTATTATTATAACTTCGCGTGTTTATTTACCCTTTGCATTTGACAGATGGGTTGACACCATTTTTGATGCTTTACGTGTACATAATCATCTCTCAAATGTCTAAAACCAAGGTAGCTTGTTATTACAATTTACTGCTATACCCTTTTTTGACCATGTTTTATTTCTTGTTTCCGGTTTAAAGTACCTTTTTTTATGCAAGAATTTGAGAGTTGATGCATATGATCACTAAATGAGGGAGTACATTACAATTTACAAGAACAAATTACATCTTTGTACATCTCTATAATAAATATTATGTAATATTAGCAATGTGTTACATTTACTTACTATTGGAATGATTATTTGTATTTGACATATTAGTGCAATGTATTATCTTTATTGTTTATGGTATTTTATTTTGTATTATGAGACTTTTAATGTGTTATTTAATTTGAAAATTAGTAAATCTATCAAAATATATAATTTTAAAAACATTTAAAATTATGACACGCAAAAATGCATGTCGTCTTCCTTTATGACAGGGCCTTCCTTGATACGCATTGTGTGTCATAAACACGCGCGTCGTAAGGTTACGACATGCAAATGTGTGTCGTCTTCCTTTATGACAGGGCCTTCCTTGATACGCATTGCGTGTCATAACTGCGCGTCGTAAATGCGTGTCATAAATGCGCGTCGTAAATAGACGACGCGCAAAAGCGCGAAGTCTCTCGTTATAACCTTCCTTGACACGCATTTGCGCATCGTCTGAGCGTTTTACGACACGCATTGCGCGTCGTAAAAGGCTATTTTTTTAGTAATGCCCCTTGATGATTTAGTGATGACACCCTAAGTGCTTGGTCAAGTGTGGACTGATTTGATTTGTTCAATTAGTCGGTCGTCATAAATCAGAAATCGGGAAACAATAAATGGACAAAGAGAATGATTATAATCTATGTCTCAGTCCATATGATATCTAGAATGGAGGAATATATGATCACTTATCTAATGGACGCGTCAGTGATTTGTTCAGAGTTCGACAACAGCTTTAAAGAGCTATGATTGCTGGTCAGGTCGGAGTCATACTTGCAATAATATTTATTAGACTTATCCAAGTGGGAGACTGATGGATTAGTGTCTAAGCCCATAACTATAATTGATATATACTTGACCCGACCCGGCATGGTCCATTTGGGCTGCATGGCATCGGGACATTTGGATAGACCTTTTGTGAGAAGAGGATATTTGTGACATATTAATATAATATAAGTTCTAATATATTAATATGAAATCATATTATTTAATTAGTATTGATCAATAATTAATTTGGAATTAATTTAGTGATCAAAAGAGACTAATTAAATATATGGGGATTGATTGTGTAAATCATTCATTCTTATATATGTGGGCTTATGATCCATGATTCCTTATGTTGGGTTTAACCCATGTGGTGACCCATGGATACTCCATGGAGGTTAAAACCCATGGAGCATAAGGAATGGGTAAAGTCATGGGTTACATGGTGTAACCCTAATGTGCACACTATATAAAGACCCCATTGGTTGGTGAAATCGGCACTAGTGCATACACAAGAGGGCAAGTCGATTTCTGGAGTGAAGTATCTCTTCTCATGGTTATTCCAAGTTGTTTTGATGTTGTGTGAACCATTTGAGGTGTCACATTTGGGGCACTAGGCTCTTGAACTCCATGGAATCAAGCTACAACAAAGAGGTATGTAATTCTACTAGATTTTATATTACATGTACTTTATATTATTCTAGTTAGAATAATACCTTGGAAAATTGATATTTGTATGTATAATAGAGAAAACATAGATCCAAGGTATTTAGGGTTGCATGTACATCATAGGAGTGTTAGAATGCTCAAAACACAACAAATCCCCTCATGGTTAACGAGATGTCCAAGGAACTGAAACTCTCGTAACCAAAACTAGCACTTTGAGAACTTGGCATAAAGCCGTTCTCGTCTCAAAACTCCCAATAGTTCCCGAAGATTCTCCTCATGTTGCTCTCTGGTCTTGGAATACACCAAGATGTCATCTATAAACACTATGACTGAGCGATCGAGCATCAGTCTACATACCCGATTCATCAGGTCCATAAATATAGCTGGCGCGTTGGTAAGCCCAAACGGCATCACCACGAACTCGTAGTGTCCATAACGCAGTCTTCTCCACGTCCTCCTCCCGTACCCTGACCTGATGGTACCCGGACCTCAAATCTATCTTGGAGAACCATGATGCTCCTTGTAGCTGATCAAAGAGATCAACGATCCATGGTAGTGGATAACGGTTCTTCACCGTCAACTTGTTTAACTCTCGGTAGTCAATGCACATCCGGTGTGAACCATCCTTCTTCTTCACGAAGAGAATCGATGCACCCCACGGAGAACTGCTCGGACGAATGAACTGCTTTCCTAGCATCTCCTATAGCTGAGATGACAACTCCTGCATCTCGGGTGGTGCCAATCAGTACGACGCCTTGGCGATAGGGGCCGCACCTGGCACAAGGTCGATCCTGAACTCGACCTGCCTCTCCGGAGGCACTCCGGGTAACTCCTCCGGAAACGCGTCAGCAAACTCCCTGACAATCGAAACGTCCGAAACTGAAACTGATCCATGACCCGTGTATCCACCACATACGCTAAGTAACCCACACACCCGTGTTGAATATACTGCCGAGCCGTGGTAGCTGAGCAAAACCCTAAACCAACTCTGGTCCCTCGCCGAAGATAACCAGTTCTCCCCCACTTGGGGTTCGAACTACCACACGCTGACCCTCGTAGTCGATCATGGCACTGAATCGACTCAGCCAGTCCATACCCACTATCACACAAACTTCCCCCATGGGAATCAGAATCAAATCAATCGGGAAGGACACCCGAAGATCTCCAAAACGCAGTCCCGATAAACTGAAGAAGTAGAAATCCTGTGTTCGTTGGCGATGGAGACTCGCAATGGACACTCTAGCTCTCCTACAGGAAAATTAAACTCTCTACTGATCGATCGAGAGACAAATGACCGACTCGCCCCGGAGTCAAATAATACCAAAGCAGGTAAGGAGTTCACTAAGAATGTACCTAACATGGTACAACACATATAATCATACAACATATATAACCAGTAAGATAAAGGATAGAAACATACCAGCAACCACATCTGGTGCTGCCCTGGCCTCCTCGGTTGTAAGCTGGAAGGAGCGTCCCGGAGCCCTCGGGGGCCCTGCTCTACCCTTACTCCCGTTAGTAATTCTAAATGTAGTCGGCGCTGGAGCCTGCGTTGGCCTGGCAGCGAGCTGTGGACAGCTGGTCTTCACATGGCCAACCTGATTGCAGTGGTAGCAAATCCTCATATCCTGAACCAGGGCTGGCTGGCAACAACCCCTCGCTAAGTGCCCATCCTTGCCGCATTTACGGCACGCACTACCAGATCTACAAACTCCCGAATGGCCTTTCCCGCACTTCCCACAAGTGCGGTCGCGCTGGCCCCAAGACCTAGAATCAGCGGTCTTGGGCCGCTTCGGCGCAGGCTGTGACTGCGTCGGGGCCTGCCTCTGCTCCCGTAGCTGTAACTCGATCTCAAGCTCACGCCGCCTAGCGGCATCCTATAACTCCAGCAGTGTATCGCAACGCTGGGTAGCAACAAACTGACGTATGTCAGTCTTGACCATGCTCAGATAATGTGTCATCTGAGCCTGCTCGGAAGCAAACTCTGGGAAAAACATCGCCCTCTCAGTGAATATACGGGTGATCTCCTTCAGCGACTCCGCATCCTGTGTCAAATCCAGAAACTCATGTGCCAGCCGCTCGTGCTCAACCCGTGGAATGTGGCGAGCGTGGAACGTCTCCCTGAACTGATCCCAAGTAACCGCAACTCTCTGATCATCTGTATACGACCCCGTCATCAACCTCCACCAGTCCTTGGCTCTGGACCTCAGCAAGTTCAGAGCACACCTGACCTTCTGGTCAGCAGGACATGAGCACATCAAGAAACATTCCTCCACGTCATACAGCCACCTTATGGCTACGATCAGTTCTTGAATGCTATCAAAAGTTAGGGGCTTCGTGCTATCAAAGTCCCGGTACTGAAAAGCCCGACTGGTCCCACTATCAGCGGCTGCAGCGACAACCATCTCAGCAAGAGCTGCATAGCGCTTATCGAAATACTCCACCATAGCGATCTAGATAGACCCAAACATATCCGACAGCTATGCCCGGAACAGTATAGCAACCTCATCATGCAAGATCTCTCGAATACTAGCGTCCAACTCATCCGACCTCATCTGACCAATGACCTCGGGCACTGCTGGTCCACCCTGACCGCCGTCTCCTGATCCTGATCTGAATCCAGTCACAAAGCGCCTCGTAACCACCATGCTGAAGATATACCAGGAAGATATCATACATTCCATACAACAATCGGGGAACCAACTCCCAGCAAATCCCTAGGGGTTGTGACTTCCTCGCTACGCATATGGGTCCTATGCTTTCAGTAGTACGGGCCCATACTACCTTCCACACCTACCCATATTTTTCTCAAGTATCATGACAACGCCCTAACAATATACATATGTATGGCGAGCACTCAATCCTCACTCCTAGAGGAAGACTAAGTATCTCATAACTGGCCGACTGACCCTGCACAACCTACCCATAAAACTTCCACCGACCATGCAACACTCGTGTATGCTAGCCATACATAACGTTGGACCCTATAGACTTTCGAATACCTGATCCTACCCTAAGCCCTTCATCAAACAAGAACATGAAATAATGTCAAACCAAACATTCTCAGGCTATAATATCTTAGTTATATACGATTGTGATGCATACACTAAGCAACTACAATAATGATGTCAATTTCATATAAGGAAAAACCCTAGGCTATTAGGCATCATATAACCAGGCAATTCTATCATGCAATTCTTGAAGATCCCTAGCCTAGTACTAGCATGCTGTTCTAACATATCACAAAATCAAATAATCCATAAAGTATTTTGGGGTCTACTTACTGGCTTCGGCTGATCGTACACTTGCATCCTCCTTTAGTATTTTGAAAACCATTTGAAAATCATTTTGAAAATCTTGTCCTTAGTTTGAGACTGGATTCACAAGAGTGTTCTTTCAATTCACTCAAACCAAGGCTCTGATACCAACTTGTAACATCCATAAAAATCAAGCCAATTTAAAACTTTTTAAAACATTCAAAAACCATTAATTATTTGATGTGAATTATGAGCATTGATTTGGCATGCGGAATTAAAAAACACACAAAGAACACGGTGATTTGGGTGCTTAAGAGATGCATTCCATTATGAAAGGTGTTACAAAAAAAGGATTTAGATCTAAATCTACATAATTAACACAC